ACGATTTAGCATTTAATGATAATCACACTTTACAAACTTTTGTAGAAAGCTTCCAGGATTCCACCTCCCTTTTTTCTTAATTATTTTTATTTCTTTTAGCACTTTCAAGCTTGCCAACTCTTTGCCAACACTAGTGTTTTTGCACTCCTTTATTTAAAAAGAATTGGATTCAGCCAATGCCATATTCTTACATAAGTGCATCAGCCTGCATTTCATCATCATCTCTTTTAAACAATATGTTTTATTTTATTGGTGTATTAATGTGTTCACTTTGTACACATCTTTATTTTCGTACTTCGAACCAGTCAGGGACATCACACCATTTTGTACACTGGCACTGATTCCAGACTATTCTTACTTAAAGGAACATTTCGCCAAAAGGTCACATTTACACAGTTTTCCACATAGCCCAGACGTAGTCAAGCAGCCAAGGCGTGCTAGGTGTCCAAATTTTGCTTTTTAGGTTTTTCACGGGAGTGACAGTGCTCATGTAATTAAGTAATGGAAGCTAAAATCCCACCAACGTTGTATGAGTGTTATCTGTATAAGGAGTTGTTAAATATGTTATATATTATATCACCGTTGTCAGAAGAAAACTTTGTATCTCCACAATGGTAACTTTTTAGGAGAAGGAAAAAACCTACTTTACTTTTAATGTAAGTCAATGGAACCAGACATTTTTCCAAGTCATTTTGGGCTGTTTCCTTTAGTCTGTTCATCATGAAATTTACATACAATGTAAAGGGCAAAGAGTATTTTCAAATTATGTCAAAAATATAAAAATGGAGATACAAGGTTTTTTCCGACAGCAGCGATATATTATATATATATATATATATATATATATATATATATATATATATATATATATATATATGTGTATATATATATATATATATATATATATATATATATGTGTATATATATATATATATATATATATATATATATATATATATATGTGTATGTATATATATATGTGTATATATATATATATATATATATATATTTTTTTTTTTAGTTTACATCTGGAGCTTAGAAGCTAACGTTGCTCACAAACACGAAGTCAATCGTGTCCCAAATTTTTTCTATAAATTCATCTCCCGTACCTCTCTAAACCTGCTCAAACCGCATCCAGCTCTTCATTAAAGTCACACAGATTGTTGATGTGGATTAGGACACAGTTTGACCTTATGGTGAGTTATAAACATGACAAAACTTCACTGTGTAGCTGAACAAGTGGGCGGCCACATTAGGCCTTATTCACACATGCTACCTCTGCGTGGCGTGAGCAGTGTGGCGGTGTGAGCGCTACAGCTCGAACGCACTTGCCTTTCATACATACAGCATTTGTGCTGAGGAGCGGAGCAGCGAGAAAGTTAGACAGACATTCCTTTACCCAGATAAATGGTCACATCAGTCACTCTGCTCAATAGAAATGTCATTTATGAAAGTGCACGGTTTGTTTGTCCTCCACCGCATTCTGACTTGTGATTAGGACAAGTTTCAAGCCTGATGGACCAACCAGGAAATCTGTTTGCAGCACAGAATGTAACTCGTATTTTGTTATGAATTAAGAAGTTTGTATATGGGTTTTTTTTTTTTCTTAATTTACACTGTTTTTCACGGCTTATTTCGGTATATACTGCTGCATGACAGACAGAAAAAGTCAGCGCCGGGTCCATTTCCTGGGATGCTCTGCCACTTCGCACATGCAGCCTATGTGAAAGTGGTGACCAGTTACCATGGGCGGCAAAATGAGAAGCAAGTCTTTCCAGGTCGCTCACGCCATACAGGCTACAGTATGCGTGAATCAGGCCTTAGAAAGCAGGTGACCACAGAAGCCGACTCCCCTCTGTGTGCACGCACATCACACAGGCACATGGATGCTAGATTTCCCTCGTGATTTGTTCATTTGTTTTTATATATCTGCATATAACGTATTTCCTCAGTTTTAAAAGTTAAGTTGGACAGTTATCTATAAATAGAAACAGCAGAAATAAGCGTGATCTGTGGCGTCCACATCACTGCGTAACGTGTAAGTTGTATGTTGACCAGCGGCTGCTTGCAGCGTTTAACGACACTGTGCAGTTTTGTTCGCTTTTGTAGTTCACAGTAAGTAATACTGTGCTCTTAACGATGGTTTCTCAACCACTGGGCCGCAGACCACAAGTACACCGTGAAGCACCCTCTGGTGGTCCTCAGGCCTTTATAGGGAAGGACCAAGTGGTCCGTAATGGTCCGTCAATGGCACTTTGTAATTAAAATCAATGAAAAATGATTTCAGATGGTAAACGGCATTAATACATGCCCTGCAACAACAGCACAAAGCAGCTTCATTAATTTTCTTGAAACAAAACACTCCCCTGATGTTCCGTAATCCACTAGTGGTGTAAATTTAATTGCAGATGTTTTGCTGATCCGTTCTTTAAAGTACATTTTGTAGCTTGCATTTTCTCCTTTTATATGTATCGATCTTTTAAACTTTTTAAAAAATAACATTCATAACATTTGAAGATGTAGATGCTTCCCTCAAAAGCATTTAAAATGCATCATGACAAATCATACTATCATGAGGTGTAAGTCTGTGACCTCACCACGACTTGATTGCAGTTCTCACAAATCCTCACAAAATAGCAAATTTCTTGGCAAATCAGATCATTTTGTCCATTCAGAATTCATTTAAATAGACTCTGAACACACAGATGTGTCTGGATGAACTGTTTACACAGCAGTGGAATGTAGACAATAAAAACCAATATGTGTAGTTTATTAAACATTTGCAAAAAAGCTTGAGAATAAAAAAATAATGTAAGCGATGATAATATCCCAAAATCAGTGCTGCAGCTGAATCACTGTATTTAGATCGATGCATTCTGTGTTTTTACAGTAGTAAATTGAGGTTATTTTCCAGCCATTGAAAGAGACGAAAGAGCCTAGAGTCTCAATCATGCATCTTATCTGATATCGTCAAAGATGCTGGATTTCTGAGAAGACTTTTTTTTTTTTGTTTTTTTTTGTTTTTTTTTGTCGATAGCTCTCTGCCTGATCTAATGGAGGTTTCCTTTCAGCTCATTCATGTTCAGTGGCTTTGAGAGGAACTCCGGAAGATGATGATAGGAAATAAGAGCTCACTGGGTCCAAACAGAAAGAGCAGAGAGTGGGAGAATTATTCCAGTCGATGGACTTTCAGCAGCTCTCTGGACTTTGAACAACCTCTTTTTGTTCATTATATGAAGCTAATTCATGATAAATCACAGCCTAATGTGTCCAGTTGGACTTGGAATACTTCTTCAGCTCAATCTTCAAGGGCCACATTGGGCCTGGTCATCTCCAGATGAATGCTTAATTTCCACCTGTGTTTTGCTTATGTTTGATTTTATCAGTTGGTGTTAAGTGTCTGGTTTTATGTTGTTGTGCCCTGAAAGGCTTTGTAATTTGTAACATCTTGAACACTGAGAAACTTGGGCCCAATCCCATTTCTTATTTTTACCCCTACCCCTTGTTTAAGAGTGTCACCTTGCCCCTTGGAGCTGAGTTACAAGGGGTAGTGGTTGAAATCTTCCCTCTGAAATGGGACCCTCAAATAAAAAGAGCATCACTTCATTAACAGCTACTAGCGCTGCTCTGTAGGCAACCCTGCCAGTCTGCAGTGACAGCAGAGGAGGGTAAAGTTCAGCTCCTCACTGCTGGGCTTTAGTTACATTTAGGGAATCATATGCTTTCAAAGAGGGGGGATGAGACAATTATCTATCATCACCCATCCCTATTTCTTCGGTGATATGAAGTTGAAGTCAGATATTCGCCATCTTCTTGTTTGAAATTTTCCGTTCCACCTTAAACTGTAGACATGAAAACAACCGACATCATCAAGCTTAAAAGTAAATGCTGAGGGTTTCTTGTGTAATTAATGCAGGACTAGTGTCTTAGTTGAAACATTGATGCGTAATAATACACTCTATAGCCAAAAGCCAGAAGTAGTTATTAAGCTCAGATCTTTCCTCCACACCAATTAACAGGTGTACTACATCAAGCACATAGCCATACAGTCTCCATAGACCAGGGGTGTCAAACCTGACCACTAAAAGGGCCATTTTAAAAAATCTCAAGAAATCCGTGGGCCAGCTGTGTTTTTATTTTATTTTATTTTAATCACATAACATTTTGGCATTTTTGTTTGTTCAAAATATGCCAAAGCTACAACGGCAAAAAACAGATGCTAAATACTTGAATGATTCAAAAATCATTTAAAATAAAACAAATTGTTTATATAAAACAATAAGCTAGACCTCTTTAAATCTCTTTGAATGTCCCCAGTGTACAGTAGGTTTTTTAAAACTGCCCATTCGCTTGAACTGGACACCTGGAAGGTTTTTTTATTATTATTATTTTTTTTTTCTCTCGTGGTGCTGTCTCATAGATTGTTGTTGGGGAAGGGGTGGGAGCACACATTACATTGCAGTGCATGCTGGGATCTGTAGTGCAGCTCATGGTGAAATGGACTAATATTAATAGAAAATTAGAATCATTTTGGCCAAGTAGAATTGTGCCACGGGCTTGTTTTGGCCCGCGGGCCTTATGTTTGACATATGGGCCATAAACAATCACTGACAGTATAATGGGTCACAGTGAAGAGCTGTAGTTAGCTAGCTGATCAGACTAGGTCTAGTTTAGAAAATAAGTTGTTAGCTCCTCAGTTTAAACACTGGACTGGATTCTTACTTTATCAGTAAACTAGCCGGTCCATGCGAACAACATTACGGTCAGAGTTTATTCCATTTACAGGTAGTTTTAGGTGTGCGTATATTGAGTATTCTACAACGCCAATCAGCCAGTCCAATTTTAAGACGGGACCTATGACAAAGCTTGTCTGTAAGCGTTCTGTATTTTGCTATTTTAAATCTTGTCTTCTGCACAAACAGAATCACTCCAGTCTTCTACTTGCTGTGCTTTTCTCAGTTCTGTCTAACGCTCTGTCTCCCTCTCTTTTCTCCCTGCAGTGCACGTGTCGCAAGGACATGGTGAAGATCTCTATGGATGTTTTCGTTCGCTGCCTGCAGCCTGACCGCTACGAGCTGTGGAAGCAGGGAAAGGACGCGACGGTGCTGGACCACCAGAAGCCCACCAATCTCACCAGCCCTGAACTGGAGCACTGGAGGAAGAACCGGGTCACCTTCAGAGAGAAAATGCTCCGCAGGTGAGAAACGGCAGCATTGAATTCCATCATTTTGCGGTGAGACAAGACCTTGAGAACGTCTTCTCATTTACAAGTTCCCTTAGTGAGGGAGGATAGGGTAAAAGGGATTATTCCCCTGGTGGAATCTGTCTTATTGTATCACCAAAGACTTCCATACCATGGGAAACTGCATTTACCTTACTTTTTAAAATCAAACTGATGTAGCATGTAAATTGGTAAAATTGTTGATATTGTTCACTCCTTAGTCCACACATACAAAGCTGTGCACACATGATAGTGCTGGAGTTTCAGCCTGGACTGCTTTCTGTCTTTGTTCTCACAGCAGGTAGACAGCAAAAAACACACTGAATCTGACATTTTCACTTCCAGTTTGAGACCCTTTCATATGCAGTGCTGAAATCCGTATCCAATATGCGGCAATGCGCCAGGTCGGAATTCATGCAACTTTTACGTCAATCGAACTCGACATTCATCATCATTTCATGCTGGTGAGACTCATAAACATTTAGGCTGATGTTTCTGTACCAAAAAATTAGAAGACACTCATCGCAATCGCTCTGTGTTCGAAGAGATTTCGAAAGAAATGTCCGAATGCGGCCATAAGAGAACAAGGCTGCAGCATCAAGGGACAGTTAAAAGACTGAAAGCAAAGTTTAAAAGAATCCAAGGAACGAACCAAAGAAGTGACCATGGCCGAATAACGTACCCTTTTTACGGTGAGATCAAACACATTCTGGGTGATGAGTCCAACTGTCAGTCAGTGAAGCTTCATGATGGCTCCTGTGACGCTGGTGAAGATGAAGCTGATCCTGGCGTTCGCTGGCAGTTCAATTGTTTACCTCTGGATGAGCTGCGTGAAGCAACATGAAGTGTTGTTCTTTTGCGCATGTGGGTCAGTTTAGGAGCTGATCTGTTCAGACTGATGTCACATACAGATCACCTTTAAAAGATATAGTGAACAGCCAAACAAAAAAAATCAGATTTGGTGAGAAAATCAGATTTGGGCCACTTTTACCTACTGAGTGAACGTAGCCTTTGATTGGCTGCCCTGTATTGTGCCTCAATCAGAACAGAATTTTTTACATATACTCTCTGAGGCACAGTAACATAAACAGCATGTTTAATTCTAAGAGGTTGGAAAATGATAATGTAAAAATAATTTACAGCTGTTTTTGGTAGATAAAACTACATAAATGTCATAAGTGACACTCAAGTAAGAAAATCACATAGGCTGCATGAAAAAATTGGGATATGGCCCCTTTAAGAAGAAAGTTCAGATAACCAATAATATCAGCTGAAGTGGTGTTATATGGTCTGTAATTATACCGACTCCAATAGTCAAACTCTGCTTTGCTGCCTGTTTTGGTTGTCAGTTAAACCAGATTGTCAGTGTTTTCGGTGAACAGATCAGTTCAGCTCAAACAACAAAAACTCAAAGTCTACATGCCTTGTAAATAACCGACTACAAAACTGTAAACAGTTCTCACAACACTGAACTCTCAGATGTGTGAGTTGTTATATGGTATATCCAATTTCTCCATTTCTTGAAATTATTGGTGGGATTTCCACTTGTGCTAATACATCAGTGGATTCTTCATATCTGCTGATTTCTTAAGCTAAACTGTATGTCAGTTGGTTTAGAATGAGCACCGTGTCTGTATTCAGTGGATAGTTGAATAATACAGATGTGCTTTCTGTTTTATTAATTATTATTTTTTTGTGTGTTCCCTCAGAGCTCAGCAGAAAGTGAAGCAGCTGCGCAGGCTGAAGCTGGAGGAGCTGAAGGTGCTGGCCGAGGAGGGCGTCGAGCTGGACGTGGCTGACTATCAGCGGCGTGTGGAGGAGAAGGAGGCGCAGAGGAGGCAGCAGAGGGAGGAGAAGATGGCCAGGGAGGCGATGAAGACTCTGGAGGCTCTGGAGAGAGAGGAGCAGGAGGCAGCGTTGCGAGGAGAGGGTGAGACATAAGGCCGCTGATGATGAATCACTGTGTAGGCCTGCAGTGCTCCCGGGAGATCTGCTGAAGCTAAATTAAACAGTAGTTCAGCAAGAAGTTAAATTTCAGTCAGCCAAGCGTTTGCTGTTACTTTCATTGGAGCTTTGTTGGTAATGTGTCTAACAAGTAATGGAAGCTTATGCCCCACCATTTCGCAGACTACATGCCTAAATCGTCTTAAAAGAACTTAACAAAAGTGTTTAGAATGAGTTTGATGTAGTATGTAAACAGTGAGTGTGTTTACATACACTCAATAATCCCATCACAATCAGATTTCTGCAGTTATCTGATTATTCAAATGGTCATGTAAACAGCACACTCTGATTTCTTAGAGCAGAGTAAGGTCTAGAAATCAGATTCAGAAATCTGATAAAGAGAGCTGGATTTTAGCTCAGTAATCAGATTTCTCAGTGCATCTAAACTCTTACTCTGATTTCTTTCGGATTTCTCTGTCTGCACATGTGCGAAAACAGATGGCGGTACCGGAAATAAGCGAGCAGATGCAGCAAAACACTTTTGGAGTGAAACCGATTACATGCTTGATGTATGTTCATATTTTCAGTTGAAGTGGGTCGATGTTTTTTTTTTTAAAAAAAGCTGCGGCATGAAGTTCGAGTTTTATGTCACGTCGTCTTCTGTGAGTTTTTTGGCTGGTTGCAAAGCAGAAATCTGATTACTGTCTGACTCACGTAGATCTGGAGTTTCCCCATTATCTGACTACTCAAGTGCATGTAAACGCGTTGATCCGATTACTGACAAAATCTGATTTACTGCAGTTATCGGATTATTAAGTGCATGTAAACGTACTCGGTGTTTCAACTCCCCACTCCATACAGTCCTGATATGGAAACTAAGCAGTAAAAACAGCCTGGTTGGAATTCAACATTTTTGTAATGTGATAAAAACAAACACTTTTACATTTGTCCCTGTTCAGCCTTCAGCAGTTTAGTTCTGCCTTTTCATGCTGATATTGCAAGGAGTGTTTCAGCCTGGATGAATGAGGCACAATATAGGGCGCCCAATCAGAGCAGAACTCATTTACATATTTGAAAGAAACAGTATAAAAACAGCCTGTTTAATTCTACAGGATAAAGAGAGGTTGGAAAATGGTCATTTAAAAATGCATTACAACAGATTTTTTGTACATTAACCTGCAAAAACGCTGTAAGTGGACCTGGGGTGGAAAATTAAATTCAAGAAAAGTTATGCAGGATATGGATTCTTTCAAGTAAACTCTAGTAGACTAGTATGACACACTGTATGATCTGTTAACATGGAAGCAAAATTTAGTCATAAATTTGATCCATGAATGTGGAAAACGATGAATTCTGCTGTAACCCTGCCCTGCTTTATGTTTTGTGTGTTATTGTTGACACTTTTTTTTCCTCATGTTGTTGTCAGCTGATGCCCAGCAGCTTAGCCAGGTGGATGTAAAGAAAGAAGAAGAAAAGGATGGAGAGAAGGATGGAGAGAAGGAAGAAAAGAAGAAGAAAAAGAAGAAGAAGCCGCTGCCACCTGAGCAGGTGACTTTCCAGCAAGCCTTCGAGCAGTTTGCTGCGTCCAGGGCGGTCGAGGGACAGAATAACGGAAACGCGGTCTCAGATCCAGGCCTACAGGTGAGCTCACCTTGGGCCTCATTCACCAATATCTTGCAAAGTTTGTTCTTGAATCTGTTCTTGAGAAAAGTCCTGAGAAAACATCCTCGTCAGATTCATGACGTGTTCTTAAAGCTCAGAACCGTTCTCACCTTTGTGCTCTGGAGAGTATAGATTCTGTTCTTACCTAAGAACAAATCCCAGATAAGAGAACATTACTGAATGTCAGAATCTTCGTGAAAACTGTGAAGAAAGAAGAAATTTCTTCTTAAGAACAGTTGGTGAACGAGGTCCTTTGTTTCTAAAACGTTCATCAACTTTTTGTTTTTTTGGGTTTTTTTTTCAGCCTGCAGCTGAAAAGCGTATGGTGTTTCTGTTGAAAATCATACAGTGGGTTTTCAGTGGCTTTGCAACACATTTATACACATTAAAATGCATTTCATAGCAATCTTTCATGTTCAGATTTCAAATTATATATGATACCCCCTATGAGGAAAAATAAACACTTTATGGCTAAAGACTTGATTTATGTGAATATCTGAGTCTTTTTGATAAATCTTGGTATAAATCTGGATTCTTATGGACTGTTTGGGTTGCAGCGGGTCTGACTGGGTCCTTTTTGATCTCGTACCTGCAGACTAACTCATTCCCGAAGATGAAGATGAAGGTGGAGGTGAAAAAGAGTCGCAGGCATCCGTTTAGCAAACCGCCCACGCGCACCCCGCTCTTCATCGTCAAACAGGAGGCATCCAGCGATGAGGGTGAGTCCAACATTCATTTTATCATCACAAGATGCCTTTAAAGGGCAATTCCACCGAATTTCCGCGTAATTCCATCATTGGGATGTGAACACTCATTGAGAGTGTTGTGATATGATGAGAAATTTACCAACTCAGTTTTCTTTACAGTGGTGGTGGCAGGAACTCAGAGTCGCGATGTCTACAGTGCAGAGGATTTATGTACTGTGCAGAACCACCAGTGAGCCTACACACCTTTAATGAGTTTTTATATGCAGTATTGATGATGATAGTGAGAAATCTGGAAAAAATACTTCTCTTTGGGGACTGTTTTGTCTTACAGTGTCCTGCATGTGCCCCTCTGCCATGAGTGGATTAAAAAAAGTATATTTTAGGCCAAAACCTTCTCAAAACTATAATAAAACAATTTGTTTTAGGTATTAAGGTATTTGTAAGCTTCTCATCTAATAACTCTCTAAATTCTGGAGCTTGTAATTTGTGGTTGATTTGTTAGAAGGCTCCACGACAGGTGCTGACAAAGCTCTATTCGGAGCAATAATCAGAGCTTGGTAGAGTGAAGACATTTAGTACTTAAAATAACAAAAACTGAATTGAATCTTGACCTCAGAACCGGAAAACAAACATAAAAATATGTGTATAGCTACACTTATAGAAAGCTGGGTATGTGGATGGTTTTCAAGCTCTGAATGCATCTCTCTCTCTCTCTCTCTCTCTCTCTCTCTCTGTCTCTCTCTCTCTCTGTCTCTCCCTCTCTCCCTCCCTCTCCCCCTCCCCCCCATTCTCTGTCTCTCTTACTTACTCTGTGTCTTCTCACCCTTCTGTCTTTCTGTTTTTTTTTTTCTCTCTGCTGCAACTGACACGTATTGATCTGGGGATCATGACTCCCAATTACCTGCTTTCAAAGTCACTTTGAGCCTTCAGCAGGAGGACATCTGCAGCTTCTCTGTGAGAGAGAGCGCGAGACAGAAATGAAGAGGGGATAGTGAGGAATATGATGAGGGAAGAAAGATAAGGTGTTTTAGGTGTGCTTGTTTAAGCAGTAACCTTCCACAGCCTGGATACGGGAACCGTAAAGGAGTATGCAGCGGTTTTTACACCTAATGTCCGTCATACTATCATTTACCCGGGATAATCATTTTCAATACATTTCTGTGTAAAAGAACTGAAAAGTCATTTACCATTCTGCATTTATCAGAATAAAGTTTTTTTTTCTCCAGAGTATATTTTGGTTTTTCCATCTGAATTTACAGGACCAAATTGTGAGGCAAATTATTCAGTAACTGCATGAAATAAATGTACATTTTTATCTATTTATTTATTTATTTATTTATTTTTGTAAAAGCTCCCCTCAAATTAACAGAAGATGTGTTTTATGATCATACACATATTGCTATATGCTTATAATTTACTGCTGAAAGCCAGAAATCTTAGACGCTCTTTGTATCATTTTATAAAAATAATTTTTACAGATCAGATCACTGAAGATCACCATCTGTTTATAGTTTATAGCCCAGATTTGTGGAAAAATGGGTCGAATGTCAGTAGACAAAAAAAAAATTGTGAGTTCAGCTACTTTTATTATAAGGGTTTAAAATTACATCACCCATCTATTTGACTGGAAAGAAGACAGTTACAGCTCTCATATGACACCCAGCTTTTGAATGTAGCTTATGAAATATGAAAGTTAGGAAGAATATGACGAAGTGCGTTTTGGAATCATCAGTGGTCTCAAGGAGTTTAAGAGGTTTAAAAAAAAAAAACTCAGAAGTGCTGTTCAGTTTGGGCCAAGTTTGCTTGTGAGAGACACATTGAATCAGTGAAAGTAGAGTGAGTGAAGTGGCACCGATGCAATTTTGTTGCCTAAATGTGATCTGAGATATTGATAATCTCATTAGTGTGTCACTCTCTCTTCATCCGGGGTCGACCAGAGGAGGATGAATTCCTCCCCTGAGCCTGGGTTCCTCTCGAGGTTTCTTCCTCTTACTCTGAGGGAGTTTTTCCTTGCCACTGTCGCCTCTGGCTTGCTCATTGGGGCTTGGACCCATATTCCGTTCCTTACATCTACACCTGGTCTCCTTTTTTATTTTCTCTTATTTTCTTTTTTATTCTTTTGATTCTTCCTAAACCGCTTTTCTGTAAAGCTGCTTTGATGCAACACTAGTTGTAAAAAGCAGTATACAAATATGTTGTTGTTGAGTCTCCCAGTGTGAGATGAACGCTGATCTTTTCAAATCAGGTTCGAGACACATTCATGTAAGCCTCTAGATTGGATATCTGTCTTTTGTGGTCATGTGATTGTTAAGACAGCAGTCAGATCTGGATTCAGCATGCATTCACTGTGGTCATCATGTAGTGTCAGTAGCAAGTCAGGTTTAGCTTTAACTTGCTGATAAAATGTGCTCATGTGGGTCCTTTCAGGGCATTGATGTTTTCACACTAGTGACTGATACGAGTCTGATACTCATGTGAAAGTGAACCATCGAGGCAGAAAGATCAGCAAAACGTCAGAATTGAGATGTAGAGCTTATAATATGAACAAAGGATGCAGTGAAAAAACTCCTGATTGTGTTTTTGTTTCCTTGTAGAACTGTACTCAGGGCTGCCAGTCGGGGGCGGTGTGGAGCAGGAAGCAAAGAAGCCAGAGGAGGGACTTCTGTGGCAGAATCGCTCGCCCAACTTCTTGGCAGAGAAGCAGTTCAATGCTGCCTTGGCGACCATCGAGCCTCACTGCGCCGTCTGCATGCTGTTCTGTCCATACTCGCAGGTATTGACCCGAGAGCCTCATATGTGTGGAGCTGGTCTCAGTTTTATGCTGTTTGATCAGATATTAAACCCTCCGTTACACACGCTTTTGTTCCTTTTCATTATATTCTCAATCGAGAATCTCCTGGTTGAGACTTTTTAGACTGTTTAGGCCAAATCCCATTTTTTATTTTTACACCTACACCTTGTTTTCGAGTGTCACCTTGCCCCTTGGAACTGAGTTACAAGGGGTAGTGGTTGAAATCTTCCCTCTGAAATGGGACCCTCAAATAAAAAGAGCATTATTTCATTAACAGCTACTAGCGCTGCTCTGTAGGCGACCCTGCCAGTCTGCAGTGACAGCAGAGGAGGGTAAAGTTCAGCTCCTCACTGCTGGGCTTTAGTTACATTTAAGGAATCATATGCCTTCAAAAAGGGGACAATTACTTATTATCACCCACCCCTAATTCTTCAGTGATATGAAGCTGAAGTCAGATATTTGCCAGCTTTATGTTCGAATTTTCCTGTTCCACCTTAAAATGGAGCAGCAGTTACATTCAGGCACTTCAGGTGTCAGAACTGCTGGACTATTTAAGGTGGAACGGGAATTTAGCTTGCTAGGTGCTGAGACATTAGCATACTATTAGCGATTTTCTATGCTTATTATGAAGAAAAGGACCATAATACAGTGAATTGACGTTAAACTAAGATAATACAATGATTGTTGTAATTTTTTACAGAGAAAATTCTCACATTTATGGGTTTCTTTGGTCGCTTGTTCAGGCATCTTGCCAGTTTTTCTTTTTTTTTCTCATAACACTCTGTTTGGAGTTTGCCTCTGAAAAACATATGCAGGACCATGTAGCCCTAACACTTCACCCTACCTCTCTATCTCAACAAAAATTGGGACACCCTACCTTTAGACACGCAAAATGGAGGGCTAAGTGATAGGGGTGAGGGGTGAGGTGTGAAATGGGATTGGGCCTAATATTTTGGAAAAAAATTAACATAATTTCCCCCATTGCCCCAAAAATAGAGACCAGCCAAGAAATGTTTGGTGTCTCAAGTTTCCTTCTTTAATTTTAGCAATGGAGCTACAAGGTTAATGTAGCTACTAAGTAATGAAAGCTTATAGCCCACTGGTTAGTACACTGTAAACTGCATGCCTAAATCATCACACAAGTGATAAAGTGAGTAAACAGTACTTAATTAAGCAAAATAGAGGTAAATTGTGTAGCTAAATGTAGTAGTAGCTTTAGTCACATTAGTCACATTTTCTGGTATTTAACAGTAAAGCGACTTCCAAACTGTGTAAATTTCCTGATACCTCAAAAGTGCATTTCTACCATTAAATTGCTTGTAAACAGCAATTACTCACCTGAAAAAATTCACTTAAAAACAGCATAAAATGCTCACTCTGTGCACATCACTTAGCAAGTGCAATGAAACAGTAAGGAGAAAACAAATCTGAACGTGAGAGCCTTATTGATGTTAAGTGTGTGATGTTAAATACAAAACTGTATTAGACTTCTAACTTCTAAATGATTTGCTATATTTTGCGCCCCAGAAATAACTATTTAGGACAAAAATCTGGAACAGGGTGCAAGTTTATCTGTGTGTTTATGTAATTGTGTGAATGTGTCCAGCCTCATAAGGACCCCCCAGCTGGCACAGTGTCTCTGTGTGGAACTCGGACCCGGCCACTGGTTCCTGAGATGTGCTTTAGCGCTGGAGCGGAGAACACCGAGCCGCTGCCCTCCAGCGCCCGCATCGGAGAGGACGGCACCAGCGTGCTGCTGGCCTGCACCAGCTGCAACCTGCAGGTCCATGCCAGTGAGTACAGCATCTAGCCAGCAGTTCTGGAATTGCACCATACAGTTACTGCAGTGTACTTTAGGACCACCACAGTCCAGATATTATTTGGGTGGAGGTCCATTCTGAGCTGAGTACTGACACTGACTTGGTAGTGGCATGATGGTGTAGTGTGCCGGTACGAGTTTGTCAGGCACAGCATTGTTGCTGAGGTTTTTAAACACAGGCTACTGTTTCAGAAACCCTTCTCTTGTAGCTCCACCTTTCTGGTGTACAGTTAGAGACTGTAGCCCATTTGTTGTCCATCCTCTGGCTTTTCGTCAGTGGTCTTTTTCTGACCGCATAGCTGGTTGTGGACCACTCTCAGCCTAGTAATCTGTTACTGTAAATGCATAGAGTGCACCTACACTCTTAAAATATAAGGTTCTTAGCTCGGCTATACTGTTGTAGAAGAAAAGCTTGGTGTAGAACCATTCCATTATGTGGAGGTTATTTTGAACTTTGAAATATTCTTCATGGTTCTTTAAAGAACTGTGTAGTGAGAGTGTTTCTTCTATGGCAGTGGATATCACAACAAGAAAAATGTGGGCCGTCTGGCAGCCCCTGAGGACTGGCTTTAAAGCCACCGTTCCATATTATCACACTGGAGGAGTCTGTTTGTCATGTATTTCTATATATATATATATTGGTAACTTTATTGGTCTATTGGTCGCTTTATTTGGAGTGGTGCTTTGTAGTTGATTAATAAACCCTTCCTAATCCTAACCCTCACCCTGGCCCTAATCCTAACCCTGACCTCAACCCAAAACCTAATCCTAACCCTCAACCCTCAGCCCAAAACCTAATCCTAACCCTCGTATGTTTTTGACGTTACTGAAAGTCTGTTGAGTGTTTCATCTAAAAGGACAGTTCAAAATAGTGTCACTGATATATTTACATAATAATAATAAATATTTATTAATATACCACTTTTTTTAGTTAAAAGGTGTAGTTTATAGAGGATAAATGAATATTATAATAATAATAATAATATGCTGCAAATAAAGTCACTGACAAGTTACAAACAGTAGGAGGAAAAAAGGTGAGCGTATGTTTGTGTACCTGATAAACTGGCCAGTGAGTGTTGGTACTAAGCTGGTGCTCATTAATGCAGTACGGTTCCTCACTCTACCCCGTCATGTTCTCTGCAGAACGTTTCTCCACCCGAGCCTGCTCCTCTTCCCACGCTTTGTATTAATCATCGTTTCCCGCTCGTCTTTCCTTGCTGGCCAGACAGCAGTCCTTTTCCCAGGACCGCAGTGTCAATCAAACGATTCCAGCCAATTTACTGCCACTCAGGCTGAACCTGAAAGTCTGTATTTACTTTGAAAAACATTCTGGTTCTGCACAGATTTGAGGGAGGGGGCAGTGGGGGGAAAACAGGAAGAAAAATAGTTTGTTTAGTTTGTGCTTCTCCTCCGGCCGAGAGTAAGCCGCGTAGCCAATTAGGGTGTGTGTGTGTGTGTGTGTGTGTGTGTGCGCGCGCGGTTGTGTGTGTGTGTGGACTGCTCAGTGAGGTGATGCTGCAGTATGATTGCTCTCTGCAGCTCTAACTGCTGTTGTGTACGGAGAGACTGCATCCAGTCCAAACTTGGAGGAAAACAAACTTGTAGAGCCGTGCGACTTCCTGCTGGAGCCGTAATTGATGTGACTGTTTAGACGTGAATACTGAAGAGTTTGTACAAAAAAGTGAGACCCAGTCAAACTACGGACGAGTTTTGTTTTTCTACCGAAGGATCGTTTCACGTTTCATCAGCGGCACCTTCCTGCAGTCGCCGCTCACCACTGCAGTTACATTAGCATCTCTACAGGCTTAGTGAACTACAGCTCGCTCTCTCTCTCTCTCTCTCTCTCTCTCTCTCTCTCTCTCTCTCTCTCTCTCTCTCTCTCTGTCTCTGTCTCTCTCCCACTTTCTTTCTTGCTCTATTTCTCGCTTTCTCCTGCTCTCTGTCTCTCTTTCTCTCTCTCTCTCGATCGATCTCTCTCGATCTCTCTCTTCCTCTTTCTCACTTTCTTGTGCTCTTTCGCTTTCTCCTGCTCTCTGTCTCTCTTTCTTTCTCTCTGTCTCCCTCTCTTTCTTTCTTTCTCTCTCTCTCAAACTCTGTCTGTCTGTCCTACTGTTTCTCTCATGCATTTTCTTTTTCCTTGTTCTCTGTGCTCTCTTTCTTTGTTTCTGTATCTGTCTCTCTTTCATTTTTTCTCTCATTCACTCTCTCTCTCTCTCTCTCTCTCTCTCTCTCTCTCTCTCTCTCTCTCTCTCTCTCTCTCTGTCTCTCTCTCTTTCTCTCTCTCTCTTTCACTTGCGCATTCACACTATATCTCTGTATCTTTGTTTCTCTGCTCTCTCATTTTTATTACCCTTCTGTCTGTCTCATACATTTTGTTCTCCCTTGTTCTCTCTTTGTCTCTCTCTCTTGCTCTCTCACCTGTACTCCTTGTTTATATATTTTTTGTCTTTTTCTTTTTCTTTCTCTCTCTCTCTTTTTTGCTCTCATATTCTTTCTCGCTTTCTCTCTCTCTCTCACCCTTTCTAAAGTCTGTTCACTCGACGTCCATTTTTGCAACACCGCCAGGCAGTTATTTCCAGCCATACATGACCAGCTGCTCTCTCTTTGAATGTGGACAGACAAAAATACTCGAAACTGAAGCTCCGATTACCGTAAAAAAACATTTGAAATCACTGATAAAATCTGACACAAACCCCAAGAACAGTTTGTAGCGTTTGTCTCAGTAATGTGTAAAAATGTGTCCAGTCCACCTAGCTGGCACAGATCTCCGCTACTGAGGGGGAGCTTTCCCCGCTCACAGTGTAACCAGCAAGCTGATTGGCTCTTTTTCTTGAAAGGTGGAGCTTTCTCCATAAACAGACGCCATGTTGGGCGTTTCGGGCTTTTCCATTCATATTTCAACCAGTGACCGTCTCCTCCTTTATAATGTCTGCTCACTCGCCCGCTCACCCAACCGCTCACACTTCTCTATGTTTCCCCTTTCTCTGTGTCTCTTTCATTCAGTCTTCTCTTTCTGTCTTGGCCACACTCTCGTTATATGTGTGTGTATATGTTGACTTATACAGTGCTTTGACAATAAAAATACAAGTTTATCGTATCTTTAAAGCAAAATAGAGAGAGAGAGAGAGAGAGAGATGTTGGTAAAGTGAATGGCTTCTGGGCTTGTTCGTCCCCCTGAGGAGATTTAAAGGATTTCTGTTTAAATTCTCCTCCAGTTGTTTCAATGTGGCCGACCTGGATTGGGTGTGTTGGAGAGGAAAATAAACCAAAGCTTCTTTCCTGAACTCTGTTATTTCTCAGTTTACTCACTTCTGAAGGATCAAAAACAGTCACAAGATCAGTTTACAGACAGCTTGTTAAAGCGTGTTTGCGTCGGGGGGCAACATTGTTTTATCTTTAAGTGTTTAGAGCTTGTTTTTGCACAGAAGGTGAAGAAAGCTCGCACGTCTCAAATAACACACATGTAACACCTGAGTTTTTTTGGCAAGTCTTGGGAAATTAATGTCTTTGCTCTGCCCACGGATGGATGGATGGATGGATGGATGGATGGATGGATGGATGGATGGATGGATGGATGGATGGATGGATGGATGGATGGATGGATGGATGGATGGATGGATGGATGGATGGATGGATGGATGGATGGATGGATGGATGGATCTGTCTGTCTGTTCTGCCTATCTATCTAGTGGTTGCTCAGTACAAGGCAACGAAATGCAGTTAGCATCAACCAGAAGTGCAGATATACGTGCACATAATACTATAAACACACACACATATACGTGCATATATTTGGTTTATAGTATTGTGTTATCATAGATATATTTGTAATTGTGTATATATTTTTCATATAGTTTATTTTATATATATATGTGTGTGTATATGTATGTGTGTGTGTGTATATGTGTATATATATATATATATATATATATATACACATACACACACACACACAGTGATTGTTGCTGGATTGGGCAAGCTGGCAAAAATCCATTCAACCTATTGAGAAACTATAGCACACAACTCAATTTGTGTCAAAATACCTACATTCAGAATGCGTTACATTCTTTTTATTTTGTATCCTTGCGAAAGTTCACACTGTTAGTGTAGCTTTAGTGCTAGTGTAGTATTTTTTTCATCCTGAACATTAATGAACAGGGTAAAGTGGGGCTAACAAATGATGCAGAGAGATGGACTGCAGTCTGTAACGTGATAGCTTATTGTCAGATACTCATCTTAAGCAAAGCGCTTCAATTAAACATAACTAAGTTTAAGGCTTGGTAGCTTTTAAAGAAGAAATATTGTATTGGAAAGGAAGTCATATAAGCTGCGTTCCAAAGTCTAGGCTGCATTTCTTGGCCGCTACGTCATAGAAGGCTGTTCTAAAGTGAAGTGTCCTTCATATACAGCCTAGAAATGCAGCCTACATTCTGAGTGATTTTCAGGACGCAACAGATGTATACCTTCCAGGCTTTCGTTTTTTGTGACAGCACTGGAGTTTCACAATTTAGCATCATGGAAAGGAATAAAAACATGCTTTTAATATTCAGCTGAGGGAAACTGGTAGGTTTTCGTGTTGGAGCAGTAACGTCAGCGATATCAGTACATGATGTGCCACCATGTGAGTTTGTCAGAGAAATATATTTAAACTAAGTCTGGACTGAACATCAGCAAGTTTAGCGATAAAAGCCGCACTGTCTCTGGCATTGTGTTACTGCAGTTTTATCACGGGAAAGATGTAACGCATGGCCTCAGGTGGCTTATTGCTTTTATAAAATGGCGGCCAACATTAAATGTGATAAAATACACAATGTTTCAGAAAACAGTTTGTTATTATTATTAATAAATGACACAAACAAGTGTTCCGCCAAGAAATGTAGTTCCCCATCGCTGTATATTGCGTTCATTTCATGAACTTTTTAACTTTTTTGTTATGAACAATGAACATATGATAACACAGCACTGTTTAATGCATAAACTTCTCTTTATAAATACTTTTTGGTCACCAAATTACCACCGCAAGTCTTATTGAGCACCAATCCAGCGGTGCCCTCTTCTCACGCTGGGGCTGAATCTCAGCCTGGGTTTGACACGACATTTACATGAACATTTGTAGCATGTAAGTCATTCAACTGACATTTTTTAGACTTTTATACTGCAGTTTTACAGTTAATCATACCGTGAGTACTTTAATTCAAGCCTGTGATATTAATGATGGAGTTGTTCAGACTGTTGGCTCTTTTAGCCTGTTTTTAGGCTGTTTTCAGCCCCTCAGTTTAAACAAAAAACTGGTTCTTACTTCATCAATATCCTCAGTGCTCCATGCGAGCAGCATTGGAGTCAAAGATTATTCCATTTACACCACAAGGGTATTTTTTTCGTGCTGTGCTGCAGTGATAGAGTTCAGTTGCTGTTAGGCGGTCATAGGTGTGTGTATATCATGGATTTTACAACGGCTTCAAACGTGGCTCAGCCAACCAGATTTTAGGACCGGAACATCATAATTACTCATGAATATAAACTAAACTTTAACGTTTTACAGTCCTGTCAGAATGTAATATCAGCGTTTTACTGAGTGGGTCTGTCAGCTTTGTCCATTTTTCCATGATGGAACAAATAGCCGTATAGAGATTTCAGTGTTTGAATAGTCAAAATTCAAGTCAAGTCAAATTTATTTGTATAGCGCTTTTTACAACTGATGTTGTCACAAAGCAGCTTCACAGAAATCCATTAAGGACAAAGTTTTAACATGAAATGTAAATCCTCCAGGTGAGCGAGCCAGGGGCAACAGTGGCAAGGAAAAACTCCCTCAGAGCTGGGGAAGAAACCTTGGGAGGAACCAAGGCTCACAAGGGGGGACCCATCCTCCTCTGGTCAAACTACCTACAAAATTATTATACTACTAATATTAATAGTAGTAGTAGTAGTAGTAATAGTTAGGAGAATAGTGGGACATCCCCAGTCCTGACCACTGATGTATGGGGTGAAGGGGGCCTAACAAATTATGTACTACAAATTATGGACTACTGTAGAACTACAAAGTCCATCTAAGTGATAGGTGAACCTGATTGTATAGATACTGAGTGTAGACACAAGGCAAGTGTACCAAATAAAGTATCCAGAGAGTGGATATAGACTCTGTGTTTGTGTATGGTCCTCTAGCAGAGGCTGTGCTGTATCTCCTCCACGCAGGACTCTTGGGGATGATATGGTCCAGACACACACACGTTCACCCTCACTCATTACTGAGGCTGTAGTGCTGGGTGAGCGGTGATAAGACTCTGAGGACGAAGGACAATGTCATAACATCACTCTCTCCACTCCTGCTGTATTCATGCTCTCTGCTCTCACCTACAAGAAGAAAAGAGAGGATGATGTTTATTTTTGTCGCCGCATGTTTAACCAGTCTGATAACACATTATCTGCAGCCTAGTCAGTGACTGGGCAGTCATGTCCGTCAGTCACTAGTTTAGAGGATGGTTTATACATCGTGTCATATTGAAATCTTGTATATCCTTTTTTGCCATTTTTCTACATCATAGCAGCACAGCAGTTACATTTTGTAAACATTTCATGACAGCCTGACCAAAAGAGATGGTGCAAAGATACTTGGAATAAAGTCTCTTTACATGACAATGTATATATTTCAACAGCAAAGATGTATTGGCATTGTGTTAAATAGAGCTGCAGCGATTAATTGATTAGTCATTGACTATTAAATTAATCGGCAACTATTTTGGTAATCGATTAATCTTGAGTGTCATTGATGATAATAGTTAGTTGCAGCCCTAGTGTTAAATTAACCATGAGGATTTTGTCATTTTTGTGTATTTGAACTTGATTATAAGTAATTGTGTGAGAGCACGTTCTGCCTCACCCGTCTGGACATGCTGTGTCACAGAAGTCAAAATGAGATCAGAGAGATGTTTCATAAAGCAGGTCAAGTTTAATTGGTTGTCAACCTAATTGCAAACATTAAAATATTAAATTAAAATTGCAAAGTTTGGCCTGATCAGGACTTTGAGGGCGTTTCAGACCACATGGTGATGGACAGTGGCATAACCATGGCAAGCTTTTTGAGCTTTTATTTTCTGGCAGCAATTGGACTTTGAATCCATGTGAGATTACAAAGAGACTACGAAGGAAACTTTACATCCAGATGGGAGTGGCTGTAGTGGTGATAGGTTCTAGAGGGTTTTTGGCCAAACACAGCCATTGTTTGATAAAGTGTAGTACTGAGGCTGAGGGACTGTGATGGACAAAAAACAGTGTTAACATTAGTTGGTTAAGTTGCTGTATAAAAAGTATGTTGAAAGAACTTAAGCATCAACAGACCGACCGACCGCTTTATTAATCCCAGTCGACCGACCGCTTTATTAATCCCAGTCGACCGACCGCTCTATTAATCCCAGTCGACGACTCCTTTTTTTAATCCCGACCAACCGACTGCTTTAATAATCCTGACCGACCGCTTTATTAATCCCAACTGACTGCTTTATTAGTCTCAGCCGACCGACCGCTTTATTAATCCCAGCCGTGCGACTGCTTTCTTAATCACGGCCGACCGACCAACTGACTGCTTAATTAATCCCAGCCGGCCGACTGACCAACTGACCGCTTAATTAATCCCAGCCGACCAACGGCTTTATTAACCCGACCAATCGATCGACCGTTTTATTAATCCCGATCGATCGACCACTTTATTAATTCCGCCCAACCGCTTTATTAATTATTAATACTTTATTAATTCCGCCCGACTGAATGACTGCTTTATTAAATCCCAGCCGACCGACCACTTTATCAATCCCGACTGACTGACCAACTGACCACTTTGTTGATCCCAGCTGACCGACGACCACTTTATTAATCTCAAAGGACCGACCGCTTTATTAATCAATTATTGATTAATTAATCATATAAATCCTGCTTTGAGAAATATCCTGCAGGTGTGGACTTGTTGTTTTTTGAAACTACAGTAAAAAAAAAAAAGTCTCTCTTTGACTGACACTCTCTCTCTCTCTCTCTCTCTCTCTCTCTCTCTCTCTCTCTCTCTCTCTCTCTCTCTCTCTCTCTCTCTCTCTCTCTCTCTCTCTAGGTTGCTATGGCGTCAAGCCAGACACTAAGCAGGAGGGTTGGATGTGTTCTCGGTGTACTGCAGTGGCCTGGACAGCGGTAAGTAGAGCAGACACGGGTGGTGCATCACACATATAATGGAACTCAGTATACGAATATGAATACTGCACAATATCTGACACATTACACTACTGACCACATCAGTACCTTCAGCATTCAAATCACCACACAGGTTTTATGTTGATCCTCTGATCTAACATCTGATAATTAATGCGGAGATACTGGCTCATAAGATGATTGAGTAATATTGCTCTAGTCTGTGCAGTCTGAGAACACTGTGTTCAGAATACACACTAGCTAATTGTGTGGTTGTGTGTTGCAGGCCTGCTGTTTGTGTAACCTCAGAGGAGGTGCGCTGAAGATGACGACGGACGACAGGTGCTGTAACTCGTCCCTTTTCAGCTGTATCAAAGCAAGAGTCCTGTGAAAAGTTGGATTTAAAGGGTCCATAATAATACATTTAAATGTCCCTTGCTTTATTAAAAGGAAAGAGTTTGATGTAGTTTGTAAACAGTGTGAAAGTTTCAAATCATAACTGAACTCTCCCCAGTCTGTACAGTCCGTATGTAGAAACTAAGCTGCAAAAACAGCTCATTTGGAATTTCCTGTTTTTCTGATGTCACAAAAACCTTTGCATTTACGTGCCTCCATTTATTCAGCCTGCAGTAGCTTACGCTCAGCTAGTCATGCTGAAGTTATAAGGGGTCTTTCAGCCTGGACTGCTTTTTTAAGGAGGCACGAAATAGGACAGCCAATCAGAACAGAGCTCAGAGCACAGTTACAGAAACAGCCTGTTTGCAAAGGGATAAAAAAAAGGTTGAAAACGGTCATGTAAAAATGAATTATGACTGTTGTCGTAAAATAAACCTCACCAATGTTTTCAGTGGACCTCAGAGGGGAAAAAATAAAGTACTTTGAAAATGTAGGCTATGGGCCCTTTAAGCAGCTTTCCTCTGACCTCAAAACTAGTCATTCACTGGTGTCTGAAGCAAAAAATAAACAAAAGTACATATAAAATACTTTGTACATAAAGTCTTTGAGATGGCTACTTCTGTTTTTAGCTGTGTGACAGGCTCATGTCCATGTTTATAGATAATAGTGCATCATACAGTGTCAGAAACCTATCGCCATTGTCAGAAGATAACCTGTTTTTAAAATGGTAACTTTACAGGAGAAGGAAAAAACCTACTTTCCTTTTAATGTAAGTCAGTGGAACCAGACTTTTTTTCAAGTCATGTTGGGCTGTTTCTTTTAGTCCATTCTTCATGAAATTTACACACAATGTAAAGAGCGACAGGCATTTTCAAAATATACCAAAAACTGAAAAACGACAACAAAAATGGAGATACAAGGTTTTCTTCTGACAGCAGCGATAAGCAAGTCTATTAGAGATACTATACAACTCCACGCAGTTTGAGGAAAGGGTGTTCTGATTTATCTAACTGGGTGGGTATAATCTTCCATCGTTTGTTAGCTACATTAGCCTTGTAACGCCAGTGTAAATCTAAAGAAGTAAGCTTCGGATACTTGTCATGTCTTGGTCACTTGCCCACATTTGGGGTTAAAGGTGGAAAACGCTATACATTTGTAGGTTAAAGCTAGTCACTGTGTTACAGCTGTGCCATGCATACTGTAAAATACCATGCAAGTAGGTTCACAGCGATTGAACCTGTACTCTGCATTAAAGCTGCTGTACGTGGCATCTGAAACTAAAGGCTAACTGTGATGTGTCTGTGTGCAGGTGGGTGCACGTGATTTGCGCCATCGCTGTGGCTGAGGCACGATTCGTTAACGCCGTGGAGAGAGAACCTGTGGATGTGATGGCCATCCCAGATACCAGGAAGAGTCTAGTAAGTGTGTATATATTATAAGAAAGACTTACAATTATGGCTGGGGCCACCTATCAGTTTATCAGTAATTATCAATATAGTCATGAAATCATTTATTATCATTTGACATATATTTAGTTTTTTTAAATTTTCTCTTTATATGCATGAATTACAAAGTGTAAACATTTGCTGTTAGAGACAGAATTTTTAATTTAATTTTAGTTCACTGTTCATACTGAGTCTGTTTTTACAGATGAAAGCAGCAGACTCAGGTTTTCACACACTTTCACATCAAAAGCACTTTGGCCTGATGTTTTCAAACACGCTGAATGCGAGAGAACCGGATCCATCGAGTAGTCACAATGGCAAAGTTATCCTTTTTCAGCTGACGCAACTCAAAAGACTGACACTGTGTACAAGCCTAAAATAAGAAAAACAAAGTGTATGTTTTCAAAAGCTCATGTTCCTTTTGCATCAAAACTCTCAATATTAAGAGGCTTTATGGCTTTGCACTCGCACTGATGAAAATGGAAATTATCGTAGATAAACTGAACATGAGTGTAATACACCCATAGTTTTAAATAATGCAAATATATATATTTTTTATTTTAGCAATAAATTCATCCTAATCATTTTTTCAGTCCTGCTTATAATAAATGTTACTAGCAGGATCTACATCTGTTTCTGAGTTAAAGGCTGTGAGTTATCTGGTGCTTTTTGTGGCTTAAGCTGGCCAAAAACTGCTAACTTTGACATGTAGGGCCGTTTGACTGTCATGCGACAGAACCACCCACAAGCCATTGTTTTTGTCTAATGTTTGGGGGCAGTGACTTTTAAAACAGAGCTACATCTGAAACAACAAAGTGGTATGTGTTGGAAAACAGGCGATAGTATCTCGTTTTCTAGCTGCAAAACCTTGAACAGCTTAGCTGCAAACTGCGAGCTAACTGTGTTTCCAGTTAACATATTAACAACACATCTGCTTAACGTAAGTAATGTAATGCTTCACTATTGATACTTCACTGATATATTGTTGATGTGTTACTGATAATCTATCAAGAGTTTATTAATCATCTACAAAGGACCAATCAAAATAAAGTGTTACCTAGATTGGTGCTGAGCATTAGCCGATACTTTAAATTCAGGTACTGGAATCGAGTGAAAAAGGATGGATGGATGAGCAGTGGACCTGTAGTTGAGGAGCGATAGTGTATGTGGAGGTAGGAAGGTGCATTTTTAATGATGTGGAATGGCTGTATAATCAGGTGGTGATTCTCACTGGGATAAATAGGCTGCACCTGTTCTTCAGACAGGAGGCAATTTCTGCATCACTGCTGCACGTCTGAACACGCACATCTGCATATGTGCCATGCATGTACACTGTATGTCCAAAAGTGTCCACTTGAGTGAAATTCAGCTACTTCAAGGTGACCTAGTGCTGACACAGGTGTTCATTTGCGCACACACAGCTTGCAAAATCTCCATAGAAAACACTGATTGATAGAATGGACCACCTGCACATCAACCAAAGGCAGCGGTCGGCAACCCAAATGTTAAGAAAAGCCATTTTGTCCTTTCAGCAAAAATCAAACCACCTTGGGAGCCACAACATTTTATGTCCATTTTGTTGAAGTAACATTTTACCATCTTGGCTCATGTCTCAGTATGTGCTAATGTACTACTATAGGCTAAAAATATAATATGAACAAAAAGACAGACTTACTTTGCTCTGCTTTAAGCTTTAGCTCAGCTATAGCCGCTTTTCTCGCATCTCCGGCAGGAAACATTTCCAAAAGTAGAACAGTTTCTTGTAAAATGTCTCTCAATGTTTGACTTTTCAGGACGCTGAAGTCAGCTTCTCATTCGCCAGCTTCGTGTTCGAATTTTCCCGTTTCACCTTCGTACAAGAAGGTGGCGAATGAGAAACTGACTTCAGCTTCACAACTTTTTAGTGTTTGTCAGTTTCTCGTTGCAGATTAAACGTATCAGGAAACCAGCTGAGTGAATATAAACGCAAATAAGTCTTGTCTCCAAAGTATTGATGTTCGTTTTAAATCTTTCTCTTTGCTGTTTCGTTATCTACTAGCTAGGCAAGACTGTCGTCTTCGTTGCTATGGTGACCAGCAGTCTGTGCGCTGATCTTCAGGGTTAAGAAGTTCTACATTAACTCCAGCATTTAAGACCATTTATTGTTAAACTGTGCGATCAGCAGAGCTTTATTTTACTGTAAAGGAGGATTATTTTATTTTTACCTACAAATCTAATTCTGCTGTGGCGCTGCAACAGAGCAGTAAAAGAGCCGCATGTTGCCACCCCGTGGCCTAAGGTCACCATGCTCAATGCCAAGCGTCAGCTGAGAGGTATAAACCCTCCAGCACTGGGCTGTGGAGCAGTGAAACTGCATTCTCTGGGGTGATGGAGCGCCATCCAATACCTGTGGGATGACTTGGAGTGATCCAGAATCGACCATCCAACATCAGTACCTGACCTCACTAATGTCCAATCAAATCCTCACAACAGTGTTCCAACATCTAGTGTTAAGCCTTCCCAGAAGGGTAGAGGCTGTTACTGCAGCAAAGGGGGACAAACTCACTATTATCACCCTTCATTTCAGAAGAAACAGGATGGGCCAGTGTCTACAAACTTTTGGACAGTGTATGTGCTCATGAACCCACACTCATATACCCAACTGGAGAAAAGTGCCTCAGAAAGTCCCAAAGTGGCTGAAAATATATGATGTAATTATATAAACCGTTTATAGAAGCCCGTTAGTACCGTATTGCTTGCAGATGCCCTTCAATTAGACAGTAATCAAATCAGGGAATATACAGGCCAGCCTGGGTTTCCAAAAACCACTGCAGCATAATGATAATGATAACTGTAATTGGAACAGTGATTCACTTTGCTGTGACGCTTCTGGGAAACCAGCAGGTTTTCTGAATCATTTGCTTATTACCTTCAGCATAAATTCAGCAGGTTCACTTTTGCCTGTTAGTGACTAACTCTCTGTTCAATGCATTAAAGTTTTAAATAGTGGCCATAGACTCGGCTCAGCTCGTCAGGCAGCGCTGAGTCATTTGAGTTAAATCTTAAAGCCGGAAATTGTGCCTGTAGTCTCTACTCAGACTGTTGTATCTCTAGCTTGTAGGTTTCTGCTGTGTGTACTTTTGACTTCTTACTCCCACTTTTATGTCCCTGAACTGGACACAGTGGTTGGTTATTAGAGCTCAGTATGACTTTAGCTAAACAAACCTTTTTTTATTTTTTATTTATTTATTTTTTTTAAATAAGTGTGAGAGGATGTCAGTATGACTGTCAGAAACTTTAGTTCTTCAATAATTATTGCTTGTTGGTTGTAGAAAATGTCTTATCCATAGATGTATTTAATTCTCACTCATAGCTCATCGAAACAGCTCCGATTCTAAACTTTAGATCTGTACCATTTGTGTTTGTGAGTAGAGGAGATTCTTTATTCTGATTAAGTTTGTTATTTTTGTGTGTGCAGTCCTGTGTTGTGAAAAGCATCCTTCTTATTTTTGCCATGTTTTTATCATTTTCGTATTAAGGTTAACGGGAAAAAATGCAGGCTCAGAATGAGATACTGAATGTAAATGTATTACATAACTATGTAATTAATTACTTAATTACTAGAGCCTGACTGATTTGATTTTATGGAGCTGATCATTCCTTTTTTTTCAATAAATGTTTTAAACATTTTATATATATATTTTTTATAGTTATATTTTATACTGCACAGGTTTTACTTCAACAGTGCATGACAGAAAGATATGCTTCAGTTGTTATGTGTCACATTTGCAGTTTTGTTTTCTGTTAATAACCACTTATTTTTCTTATTTCTCATTAGTTCTCTTTATGAAAACACTTTTATCTTTAAAAGATCGCAAATTGAAATCCTGGCAAGACCACAACATGTAACTGAAGAGTTTAATTCCAACATACTGTTGATCACTTTGTAAGAATTTTGGATACTGAAGAACCCAAACCCGTTTCAAAACCAGGGAGCTAGTTGTATGTCTGGAGAATATCGCGCAGGTCCCAGACACCTAGCCAGCCTGTAACACAATGAACTGGTGCAGTTTTATAGCTGGACTGAAGCCAAGATTAGGCCCAGCCAATGCATGACAAGTGACAGGTGTGACAGACATGACCATGTAGGGATAAACAAAAATAGGCAGTTCTGTATACACTGACAACATAGGCGCACAATACTGAATATAATGACATATAATACAGCACTGAACACATTACAAAGCAGTACATTCCTTCAATATAATGAGTTATTTAAAATAGTAATAGCTGACAAATAGTGGAAAACTTTAATTTCTCTAATAAATGGGTTATGAATCATAGCATTGATATGTCTTTTATTATCTTGAAAAAATAGAAAGGAAAAATTCTCAAAAGTGGTCTACAATGCGTTTTGCACCAAAACCCTTCAAGATTGGTTCGTTGTCGGTGGTATTTTTTCTGTATCAACAAGATTTGTCAGTACCAGCTGATATAATTGGCTGACTGATATGTTGGTCCATTCCCTTAATTATATTAAATAACTTATGTAAATCAAATGTATATCAAAACATCATATCAATTCCATCAATTACAAATCGCACAAAACTCCATTTTCTTCACCTGTACTGATACTGATATCTCGCAGCAAATACGGATATCAGTTTTCTTTGAATGAGCTGTTTTTAATAGTCACAGCTGACGAACGTCCCATCTCACAGTTTGAGTGAGTGCTGTTTCAGGACAGATTTGTTACAGGATTGGCTCACATTCAATCTTTTTTCCCCTCCCAAACCCAATCCAGCATTTTCTGCTGATATCTGCCCCAATCTGACACTTGGTATCAGATCCGTACCATCTAGAATAGCAGTAATTCTAGTTTTCAAAGGCTTAAACTCATAGTAGGTTAATATGTTAGGACTATTCATTAGCTCTACAGACGGCTCCCAGGTGCATGTATAAATAAAAACACAGCCATTGATGCCCGTAAATCCCTTCCTGTTCCTTCTCCTCAGCGTTCAGCCAGTCTCATGATTCTGCTCTATGGAATATTAAATCACGCCGTGTGCGACTGGTGTGAAATATTCCTGCACCAGTGCTGTGTTAGAGAGTCTGCTGGACATTTGTGTGGCCAGCCTGCGAAGGCTGAAATGAAGTATTGACAATTTCATAAAGAAGTTTTATTATCTATCAATAAAACCCAGGTCAGCAGGGGGGTGTGGGTATCGCTCTCTGTGGAAATGCAGAGAAGAACATATTGAGATCATAGTGGGATTATATTGCCATGCTGAAGTGGGTGTGGCCTCAGCACTGCCGTCTGAGTGCCTGTACGGCGTTTCAGCAAAACCTGGCGGTTTATTCTAGCGAGATTCTGCAGAAGGGATTTACATTTTGAAGTTAAAGGAATGCTTTCCTGTTTTTCCAGCTGAATCTCTGTCTGCTGCATCTCGTTTTTTCTGTTCTTAGAAAAGATTTCTGTTGCAACCTTGTGAGAGAAATTAATAAAAGAAGGAATAAATAAATAAAATTAATAACCTCAACACTTTGATGTTATTAACGAGGCCAGAACAGCACAGAATGCAGGAAAAAATGGCTCTTCAAAATTGCAGTTTTGTCAATGGGCCATTTTTGTAGATGAGAGGTTGCAGAAGTCTAATACTGTGTTGTTTTCAAATGAATACAGTTTAAAATGCTTTGCTTCTCTCTGCTTTTTACAGAAGTGCATCTACTGCCACAAGACCACAAAGCAGATCTGCGGAGCGTGTATCCAGTGTTCGTATGAGAACTGCTCCACCTCCTTCCACGTCACCTGTGCCCACCTGGCCGGAGTGGTCATGAAGCCTGCTGATTGGCCGTATGTGGTGTCCGTCACGTGTCACAAGCACAGGCAGATCATTCCGAAGGTATGTGGATTCTGGCTTTGTATTATTTCACAATGAAAAAAAAAAATTACACCACCATACTGACACCGTCACTGACCGCAGCACAGATGTCACAACACAGATGTAGCTAGTAGTTGTAAGCCAACAAAGCTGAACAAGCAAAGGTACACAAACAAGTGAATTAGAGACTATCATGTGAAGTTATCAATCAATCAATCAATCAATCAACCTTTATTTAAACTCGGAATACATTGAGGGAGACCATCATTTACAGTGTAGCCGAGTTATACAGGAATCATGGATTGACAAGTTGTACAGTAAAAAAAAGTAAATCAAATACTATAATTAAATAATAAAAATCATAAAAGTAGAATTTAATAATAAGAAGGTACCAATAAACTGTTAAATCGGTAAACGATTAAAATGACAATATAACAACTTATTAAGTAACAGAGCAGATAAGGATAAAATAAATAAAAAACATAAATAAAAGAAATAGATATAAGACAATAAATTGACAATAACAAAATAAATAAAAAGAATACTAATAAAAGAAATAAAAAGAAAGTACAAAAGTAAAAGTAAAAACAATAGCTAAGACATAGATAAATAAAATCTAAAGAAAAAAAATTAAATTAAATAAAATGTTATCTGGCAAATAAGGCTCAGTGTTAATATTATAATTATAAGAAAACTGAATGGACATTTACATTTATTTAACATATGGTCAGATCCCGGGAATAACTCATTCCATGTTCTGTTCACAAATGCCTTCTTTTATAGCTGGGGTGCCCAAACGTTTTTTTTTTTTTGTCTTGGAGGACTGAAATGTGATGTTTGTGGTGGGCCGGGGCCAAAAAACAGCTAGCCAGTAACTCACTAGCTTTGTTTTCACATGTTGCCAGTATAAGTGGAGAAACTGTATTTTTAGATATTACAGGTTTTATAAACGTACAAAAACACTGCGCTGCTTTTACATTTGGTGAAAATATATTCTTCACATGATGGTCTCTAAATTATGTCTTGCTTGCCTACCTTTTGCTTTTTAAGTTTTGTTAGCTTCTAACCACTAGCTACGTATGTGTTGGTACATCTGAGCTTCAGTCAGTGACCGTTTTATGGTGTCTTCTGGTTTTTAATATATTTTACTAGATGCAAAACACCACACGGAACTGGCTTGTAAATTTTTCATGTTAATAAGATCGGACGTCCTCCACAAGGGGGCGCCATTAGCAAGTCGAATAGCTTTTGATGCTTCATAAGAGCAGTGCTTCACCTCAGTCACACAGCGTGTCCTTGTTTTTGTGTTTGTCAAAAGTAAACCAATGACTAAAAGTAGCTCAGTCAAAAATAGCTAAAAAATCAGTTAAACAAAAATGCGTTTCGTTGGCTGAGGGAGTTTCTGGCAAGCTTAAAAACAGAAACAAACTTGCCTCTATCACACACAAGAGCTCCGCCCAGTCTTTTGCAGCAGTGTGACTGTTCATACAAAATAAACATAATTTGATTTAATAATGCAGTCTGCGTTTCTGTCTTTGGTGCGACAGTTTCTCTTTAGCTTTAGTCTGTTTTCTGCCATTGTTCTGTAAAGCTTGTTCAACCTTGTTACAGTGGACATGAAGGAATGCATTTGTGGGCAGCGTATGTATAGGTCAGTGTTACGTTAGAATATATTGTGACTCTTTTCTGTGGTGCAGGTGAAGGTGGGCCCACGAGACCTCTCTCTGGGACAGGAGGCCATCGGCCGGAACAGCGACGGCTGGTTTTATCGCTGCACCATCATCGGAGTCGCCTCGCAGACCTTCTACGAGGTCAACTTCGACGATGGCTCGTACTGCGACAACATCTACCCTGAGAATGTACTGGTGGGTTCAGGATGACATGCAGACAAGCCTGTAGAATGACTTTTCTTTCTGTGTTTGTATTTTTTGTTCTTAATCCTAATTGGAATTTTGATGAAGTGGTTCTAAAATCTGATTAGATGAGCTGCTATAAATTAATCAGTATGCACTCATGTGGCCACATACATCAGTTGAGTTCTGTATTAATGCACCAAATTAGTTAAAACTGCTCAGGGATAAATCTCTCAGCATTGTTTGGCAGCTGTAGCCATGGAAATGTAGTTATACTACTTATGTATGTTTAGTTGTGTATGTAATACAAAGATATTTACATATGAAATACATACTAAAATCTCTGCCTCTCTGCATCTCAGAGTCATGACTGTTTGCGTAACGGTCCTCCTGAGCTGGGCGAGTTGGTAGTTGTAAACACGATAGACGGGCGTGTTCTCAACGCTTCCTTCGTCAAGGAGCACGTGCACCGATTTTATCAGGTACATTTTCTTTCTCTCTGTCTCTGTATGCTGTGTGTTTTGTGTGTGTGTGTGTGTTGACAAAGTGAAGGACTACAGGTGTGTACAGTGGGGAGGGGGAGATTAGTAGCAGCTGTATTAGTAGCAGCTACATTGTAGGCTGTAGACCAGGGGTGTCGAACTCAACCACTAAAAGGACCATATTAAAAAATCTCATCAAATCCCTGGGCCAGCTGTGTTTTTTTATTTCAATTTTGCTTAACATTTTGACCCAAACGGGCTATTGTTTATTCAAAATATGCCAAAACTGCTACAGCAATGTAGGCACTGAATACTGACTACAAACTGCCTGTTTGCTTGAAGTGGACACCAGGCATCTTTTTTTTTTTTTTGTGTAGCCACTGGCCCAGAGAAACAAGAATTCATTGTATCAACAGGCCTTCCTACTGTTTTTCCCGTTTCTTCCAACGTACTTAAACCTGAGCCACCGACGGGCCTGCCAGTCTACACCACAGCTACCCTTCCATTATCTGTAACATTAACGGCATAATTGTTGGGGGAAGGAGGTCGGAACACACTCCTGCAGTGCATGCTGGGGACTGTAGTGGATCTCAGGATGAAACCAGCTAATAAGAATAGAAAATAAAAATAATTTTGCGGGCTGAATCGGACTGTCATGGGCCTGACTTGGTCCACAGGGCTTGTGTTTGACACATGGGCTGTAGACACTCTCTGCCATAGATGTTTTGCTCCCAGACGCACACAGACACAAACACAGCGGTTATTTAATTGGACAGGGGGAGTTCGGGGAAATGAGGGGGAGGAAAACAGCTCTTCTTAGTCTTCTCAGCTTCAAATAGGGCTCAACTGGTATGAGATTTTTGTCACTGATATCTGTTTTCAGTAGCTAAAATGTGTATAACTGATAAAATCAGTCGATTAGGTTTGTCGTGATTGCTCAATTAAACTTAATAAAAAACAATCTATTTAATCATCCTGAAATCAAAATTGTGAGTATATGACAACGTAAAAAGTCTTGATTCTTGTTTCCTGTAATCATCCATCAGATGTAAAGACTTTTGCTGCCTCTGAAACATCATCTGAGTTTTGATTGTCATCATGTACCAGTGGGCAGGAAACATATTAACCACTTACATCAAGTCTCCCCTTCCCACCATCCCACCTGACATCAAGAGCTATCTGTCTGTCTGTCTGTCTAATTATTTATCTGTGTTTCTGTCTGTCTGTCTGTCTGTTTTTCCGTCTCTATATATCTGACAACAGACACTGTCCGTTTGTTGCAGTAGTGGTATCATCCTTTCTCACTCTTATTCTCAATCCCTTCTCTTTCTTGCTGTTACTTTCCTATTTATTTGCATATATTCAGCTGTTTAGTTGCTGTTCTCTCTCTCTGATGTATGTGTTTATTCTGAGTCAGCTCCTCTTAATGAGGGTGTAACTGCAGTGCCACACCCTCACTCTCTTTCACTCCGTCAGTCTCTCTTCTCCTCAGCTCTCCTCATTCTCCTCATCCTCCCTCTGTTATCAGCTCTCTCTGACTTTGTTCCTGATTTCTGATCAGGCAAAATCAGGCCACCTTTCGTCTCCCTAAAAAATTCTTTAAAAAGCTCTGCTCTGTGTGAAGCGGCTGCAGCTGCACTCGGGGCTGCGGGCTGGCGACAGGTTTGATGAGCTGTCGCTGAGCGCCGCGCCAGGCTCGAGCTTCTTACATCTGTTAAAGCTTCGTACAACTTTTTTTTTTTACCGTTGTCTTCAGTGGGAGCTTTAGGGAATTCAGGTGAGCTGGAGGAAAAAATTATGCCGTTAATGTTACAGATAATGGAAGGGTAGCTGTGGTGTAGACTGGCAGGCCCGTCGGTGGCTCAGGTTTAAGTACGTTGGAAGAAACGGGAAAAACAGTAGGAAGGCCTGTTGATACAATGAACGCTTTTAACATAGTGGAACCTTCAACGTTTCATGCCAGGACTCACATGTAGAGGTAGTGTTTGTCTTGAGACCCATTAAATACTTTGTGAAATAGGATACGACCCCATCAACCTCGTCTTTGTGAGATATTCCAAATGACCCTTTCTTTGTGTGAATTATTTTTTTTTCCATTTTCGATCATATTTCTGTTATTTTATGTTTCAAACTGTCCTACTATGTTATTTTTCCATTTTTCATGTGTTTTGTTTTCTCAGTTCCTTTTTGTTCTTCTTTTATTTTTTACTCGTGGTTTGTATGACTTGTTTAATTCATTATTACTGTTACTATTGTATAGTATGTCTACTGAACCCCAGGAAGAATAGCAGCTATCATGATAGCAGCTAATGGGGATCCTAAAAATAAACGGATAAAAAAGTAAACAAAAACATCCTTAAAAGCTTGTGAACTGAACTCTCTCTCTCTCTCTCTCTCTCTCTCTCTCTCTCTCTCTCTCTCTCTCTCTCTCTCTCTCTCTCTCTCTCTCTCTCTCTCTCTCTCTCTCTCTCTCTCTCTCAGGTGGAGTTTCAGGATGAGTCTCAGCTGTTGCTGAAGCAGAGTGAGATTCACTCTCTGAACCAGGAGCTGCCCAAGAGAGTGATGACCCGTCTGGTAAGTTTTTCAGTGAGCTATCAGTATAAAATGACACTATGCTTTTGTTATCAGTTGTAACTGCTGCATCTATAGTGGCAGAGTAGGGTAGAAGAGGGGTTCCCAGCCTTTTGCAACTTGCAGGCCGTGCGAATAACCACAAAAGCTTCTGTGGCTCACAAAAAGATTTTGCCAGTCTGAGCCACCTAATAAGAGCTGACCTTGTTTGGCAGCTACTCAGTGCTGGATCTCAGGCTAAAGAGAGGAAAGCTGCTAACGGAGTTCTGGCTCACTTTGACTGGTTTAGATAAATATTAAATTCAGGGCGTTTTCACACCGGAAGGTCCAGACCAAGGTCCAAAGCAAGGTCCTTTTTTTTTACATTGTCTACATTTGGTCCAGTTAGTTTTGGTTTCACATTGCAGTTTATTGAGCGCACTAAAGAACTTTGCATGACACCTCTGTGTCCTGTTGTTACCTACGTGACCTGCTTTTCTCTGTACTTAACATTGATTGATCTGTAGAGGAGCGTCTGACGTCGGCATGTCAGTTCATCGGGCATCCTTTTCCTTTTGAATGGAGAAAAGTGAACGTGTCTCGTTTTCTCAGAAAAAGAAGTGTAAATTTCATCAATTTTATGCATTTTTCAAGTCGACTTTTGACTTTTTCATCAGACTGAGTTACAGTTAAATATGTCATCTCCCCCCTCCCCATTTTCAGATTAATTTCCTTCTTTTAGTGTTTAATGAGTGACCGTAGTCTGCCTCAACTTCCTGTAATTGGTCTGAAAGTCCGAACCATCTTAAAATGTGTTTTCATACTGCAAACGAACCGAACCATGGTTCAGCTTGATCTGGACCGAGACCACCTCTTTTGGTTGGACCAAATTTTGGTCCTTTGGTCTGGACCGTGGTCTGAGGCACCATTCACACCTGCTATTTTGGTTGGGACCAAACTGAAAAGTCTGAAGGTCCGGACCAAACAAGGTAGTTGTGAAAGGACCCTTGCGTACAGCACAGACTGGTAGCTGTTTTTCATCTCTCGCGCACCTCATCGCAGCACATGCTGCTCACTGCTGTGTTTTCTTTGTTTTGGTTATGCCTGGTTTTCTTGCTTTTCTCTGTCTGATATACGGTGGCTGCTTCACTTGTAGATGGCCCAGCCTCAGGATCTTTTCTTTTGGCCTTTCTCCTGTTAACCGTTTTCCCACGATGGAGGGAAATTTTTCCATTGAGTTGCTCTGAAAATATAAACAGAACTAGTGAGCATTTTGCCAGAACATTTTTTTCTTGTTTAAAAAAAAAAACAAAAAAAAACTGATGGTCAGTAGCCCCCTAGCAGTACTACCACCGTCCACTGGGGGGCTGCAGCTCACAGATTGGAAACCAGTGGGGTAGAAAAAGCTGTCTTTGTCTTATCCAAATGGGATCTAACGTGGATTTACACAATCTGTCAACTCTACCTTTATATAAGTATTGTATAGGATGGACAAAATGTATTTAAATATATATCTGTATAATACAGTAAATTGTATTTTTAAAATGCAATACATTTACAGGGGAGCATAACGTTAGTGGATGGCAACCCTTCAGTTCTGGTCAAACCAAATCATTAGTCAAAATATATGGGGAAGCTGGATTCCCAAGAACAGGAATGTGAACTGTACCTGAAGAGGGCATATATGACATGCCTGAATAAGGACATCTGTAAGGATCATAAAGCACCTTACAGAACAACATAGAGTAGCTCATTAACACAGACTCTGATGTAAGAATAGTAAGAGACATTACTGATCATGTAAAAACCTTTAAACGTATTCGATTTGTGTAAAATATTGGATAGAAGAGGGTCAGCTATAACATTTCCACATACCAAATCACAAAACTCAAGTTGCTCAGGTTACAAGTTAGAAATCACCTGGTACTTTCTTCCCCCCAAATACCATCCAGCACTAATTACTAAAAAGTATTTAGTATTTCAGATGCAGGTATCCAGAATATTACTGTTCCCTGTCAGAATGTTGCGATTTTTGACTGTAATGTTCTTTTCTCTCCTGCAGGCGTCGGTGAACACTCAGGACCCTCAGGCTCAAACTCCTGACGGGCCTCAGGCTGCAAAGCGTCCAAGGCTGCCCACTCCGCCCCCCACGGCCACTACAGAGTCGCTGCAATCCCCCATCTCCTCCTATTCAGGCCTCAGTATTACCCCCGGCATCAGCACCAGCACTTCTGCCTCTTCTGACCCCATGGCTACCCCTCCTGGCCCCATGGCTACCCCTTCTGACCCCATGGTTGCCACTGTAGCTGTCCCTCCTGCCCCTCAGGCTGAGGCTGGCGAGCGCTACACACACAGCTCCAGCTACATCGCCTACATGGAGTCTCTCCTCAACTCGGACTTTCCCCCAGACGAGGGCGAGCGCGGGCCGGAGCCCATGTTTTAGCTCCGACGCTCCGCTGGCTCTGCTGGCCGTTCCTCCACATATAAAGACTCTGAGGACGTCCCATTACTGCATGTATTCTCTTTCTCTAGCTCTCTTTCGTTTCCTTGCTATTTTACTCTCTTCCTAGCCGTCACAAAGCCGCACAGCCAGCACGGGAGTGTATTTCACGAAGCGTTGCTCAGGTGACCAGATAACTTCAAATTAAAGCCTGTAAGAGGAGAAAAAAAATACTGATATACCTGCATTTTACAGTTGCGATTCGCCTAGTAATGCATCAAAATCAGTAATATGGCAAATTTAAAAAGGTTTTCCTGCATAATAATCCTGCACAAATCCAGAGCTGGTCAGTATCATCACAAAAAAGAGCATTGTGATTGGTTAGAGGCTCATTTGCATATTCTTCTGCAATGTAAGTATTGCAAAAACAAATTGTGATTAACTTATTATTCTAATTATTGTAATTTTTGGCTCAGGTGGTCCAGCTATCTGAGAGGTCTTGCTTTGTGAGATACCCCTGAGGTGGAGGTGTACGTTTCGGCTCTCTGGGGCCGCTTCTCCCCGCTCGCCCCTCATGCTTTAAGACTCCTTGCTCTCCTCTCTGATCCCTCCTTCTTTTTATCCTCCTCACTGAGGGAAAAAAAAAAACACACCTTTTTTTGGACGGACTGATCATTTTACCGTACGTGCAGCATACTTTATACTGAATTATATCGATCCAGTTTGAAATATTTTTCTAACTCAAGCCAAAACGCACCCTGCTAATCGGACTCGATGCAAACGGACAGTCTGTTTTCTGTACAGTTTCAAAAAGGATTTTTTTCTTTCTGTGTACGGAGGGGGGTCAACAGAAAGGGGGGGGTGGCTGGGATATGGGGGTTTAACACGAGTATTTAAACGTCTTTGACACATATAGATTTATTATTTGTATAAAGCAAATGGCAATTATGGCACCGTTAGAAGCTCCACTTTTCTGCCTGAGAGTTTGATGTAGAAATGCTGTGTTTAAGATTAGTTATAAACGTCTTCATAAACTCTTGTAAACGCATATAAGCGAAACGTTACGATGTATTTTCAGTGCCAGGTGTCTGGGCTTGTTTTTTTTTGTAGCAGACTTCGTATATTGTAGACTTGATATGAATAACTGTTCACTTTGTTCACGTTGTCCATTTTTATTACGATTACTGTCTTTTTGCTGTTATTGTTTCTATTTTTATTTGATTGGTGAAATTCTTCATGTGAAATGAACAACAGGATAGATTTTTGTTTGTTTTTTTTGTCAGCTTGCAGTTTTTTTTTTGTTTTGTTTTGTTTTCTAGAGAACAGAGTTTGTCACATAAGTAGATTTGAACCCCACACAGTCAGCGTTAAGCGTGTGTTTCAGTGATGGGCCTTCTCAAGGTGCTACAGACGTCCGAGACTACTGAGAGGCAGCTGTTCACGTCACACGCACAGCGGTGTAAATACCACAGACCTGCTATCACACTCAGCTCTGCCTCACTCTGCCTCTCTCGCCCGCATCTCTCTCACCTCTGTCTCTGAGGCACAGTTAAAGTGGAGGAAAACCACAGAAAGGATGGCTTAGAAACTTAGAAATCTTCCTCGGCACTCTTTCTTTTTTCTTTCTTTTTTTCTTTTTCTATCTTTTGTTTTTTTCTGTGTCTTCTCTCCTTTTTCTACTTTTTTTTTCTTTAGGTTTTTTTTTGGTTCTTTCTATTTTTCATTCTTTGTTCCTTCCGTTAACAAAATTATCTTGAGATAATGAGTTACTTATGTTGTTATCTCAAGATAACAAAATATTATTGAAATAAAGTTACTTATCTTGATATCTCAAGATAACAGTTATCTTGAAATGAGTTACTTATCTCAAGATAACAAAAATGTCTTGAAATAATGAGTCACTACTTATCTCAAAATAACAAATTACTTAACTTGAAATAAAAAATTACTTATCTCGAGATGAAAAAAGTTATCTCGAGATAACAAGTTACTTACCTTGTTATCTTAGGATAACAGTCCAGAAAATTATAGCAACTGCTCGTGGCCTCTCCGGACTTCTGTACCTTCCTTAATTTTTCTTTTTTTTTTTCTTTTACTTTTTTCCCTTGTCTTTTTTTTCCTTTCTTTTCCCCTTTCATTTATTTATTTCTCTCTCTCTCCCTCTCTCTCCCTCTCTCTCTCTCTCATTGGCCCGACCCTGTGTAGTTAGTGTTGCCAGAGTGTCATTGAAATAGTGAGAACTAATGTTTTAAGAAGTCTAATTACAAAACCAAGATTAAGATTAGCAGCTCTATTTTCTCTCGTTCTTTTTTCCATTCTTTTTCCTTCTTTCTTTTTCTCTTTCCTACTTCTTTCTGTCTTTGTTTCTTTTTTCCACCTCTTTGGTCTTTCTCTCTCCCCCACAAACTGTCCGGCTCCTCCAGCAGCCATTCTCCTCCTCCTATCGCTCCTCTCTCACTCTTTCTATCCGTTATAAAAACACAGAGACCCGGTGAGCCAAAGAGCTCCTGCAGAAAGACTTTATAAACCCACACAGTGTTAACAGAGTTTAACAGTGAACCCTCAGCTGACTGTCTCTCTCCCTCTATAGCTCTCTCTCTCTCTCTCTCTTTCTCTCTCTCTCTCTCTCTCTCTCTCTCTCTCTCTCTCTCTCCCTCTCCCTCTATAGCTCTCTCTCTCTCTCTCTCTCTCTCTCTCTCTCTCTCTCTCTAGCTCACTCTCACTCGCGCTCTCTCTCTATAGCTCACTCTCACTCGTGCTCGCTCTCTCTCTCTCCCTCTCTCTCTTTCTCCCCCCCCATATAGCTCTCCCTGTCACCCTTCTCTCTCTCGCTCTCGCTCTCTCTCTCTGTCTCTCTCTCTCTCTCTCTCTCTCTCTCTCTCTCTCTCTCTCTCTAAATGACAGTAAGACTTGTCACTTGAGGGGACTCTGTTCCTCCTTCATATCCCTCCTCAGGAACCTGCTCATTCTCTTTATTTCTTTCTTCTTTCTTCTCTGATGTCGATGTCTCTCTCTCTCTCTCTCTTGCTCTCCCCCCCCATATAGCTCTCTCTGTCACCCTTCTCTCTCTCTCTCTCTCTCTCTGTCACCCTTCTCTCTCTCTCTCTCTCTCTCTCTCTCTCTCTCTCTCTCTCTCTCTCTCATCATCAGACAGGCTATTTGCTCACTTGATGCCCTCGACTGCTTTGTTGAGATTTGAGGCAGTTTTGGCTGAGAATATTTTTCTCTCTCTCTCTTTATTTTTTCTTGGGGTTTCAAACCATTTTGCAATAACTTCGTAACCTCTGGAAAGGGCAGATCTACTCCGAGACCACAAAGACTCCCGTTCTTTTGTCTGTAAATGTTAATCCATACAGAAGCTATCTGATAAATTCTATTAAAATGTGAAGTGTAACTCTGGTGGTACGTTGTTGTTGTTGTTGTTGTTGTCGTCGTTGCTGTTTTACACATTCACACACAGGCACCTGCAGCACATCAGTAGATCTGACACCTCTCGTCTGTGATATGTGTTTTTAAAACAGCTGTAAAGTGGCGCGAAGCAGCTTCAGAAACGCTTGTGTATTAGTGAAATCAGAGAAGCTGGAGCCGTTCAGATAAACTGAGCACAGCCCTGAAACGTCTTCAGTGAGTGAAATTAAAGCTTTTAAAGTCGGTGTTAGAATGAACTGTTTTATTAGCCAAGTATGCTCGCATATCAGAAGAATTAGTCTTGGTGAGAAGCATGATTACATAAATATAGTGTTATTAATAAAATATTACAGTATATACAGTCATATTCAAAAGTTTGGGTGAAAAATCCTCTACAGAGACACACTTGTGTGTTTTAATGCAGGAATACTGTTTTTGTTTCTAATTTCTATCCTATTTTGGGAAAAATAAAATCTAAAATATGGCCTGCACAAAAGTTATGGCACCTGTTTTTTCCTCCAAATGTTAAACTCAACTAATAAATAGAAAGTGTGAAACTAAAATTTGCATAAAAATGCCATATTTTAGTGTGTTCTCAGTGGAGTGAACTTATTTTCACTTTGAAAATCAACTAAAAAATGTAATTTGAATGTAGGAATTTTGAGGTATTTGAATATTCAGGTATTATATTCATATTAGAACCTTTCAGTTCCAGCTGCTCTTTACATACATACAGCATTAATGAAAGTTTCATCATGTCTGAACTAGAAATGGCTCAAAGTGACGTGCAATAAACTCCCTTTCTTAACATACATTAATATAATGAAGTTATAAAGTTACCGATTAAGAGATTTACAGCAGCTATAACACAGCCTCAAGTGGCTTATTGCTTTTATAAAACTGCAGCCAATATGAAATATGACAAAATACAGAATTGTTCAGAAAATAATTTGAGTTATTATTAAGAATAATGAACAAGTATTCTGCCAATAAATGTAGTTCCTTTAGAGTATGGTATCGTTCCCAAGCAACCATGGACAACTGAATGAGGGGAACGTTTGGTCACCCATCGCTGTCCACTGCGGTCATTTCAGGAACTTCTAACTTTTTGTCGTGTAACAATGAACATATAATAATACAGCACTGTTTAATGCAGAAACTTCACTTTATAAGTACTTCTAGAGTCTTATTTAGCACCAATAATCTCAAACGGCTCCCTGCTCCCTACATAGTGCACTACATAGGAGTTTAAATACTGGATCCTGCAGCCCAACAGAGCAAAATACAGCTAAGAAACAGTCATTTGGGACTCATCCACACTCGATAAATGCTGCACTGTTTGGCTGTGGAGGCTAGAATTTCTAAACTTTCATAGCTAGAACACTATTTAGGGAGTACGGAGCCGTTTGGGATTCAGTCTGGGTTTGACGCGACGTCTGACTGGAACATGGACATTTGAAGTGTGTAAAACATTCAAGTGACATTCTTTAGACTTTTATACTGCAGTTTTACAGTAAATCATACTGTAAGTGCTTTAATTCAAGCCTGTGATATTAATGATGGAGCTATTTAGGCTGTTGGCTCTTTTAGCCTGTTAGCTAGCTGACCAGCCTAGTTCTAGTTAAGAACATAAGTTGTCGGCCCCTCAGTTTAAACACAAAAGGGGTTCTTACTTCATCAGTATTCACGGCGCTCCATGGAGCAGCATGAGAGTCAAAGACTATTCCATTAGCGACAGGGGTTTTCGTGCTGTGGTGCAGTGATACAGAGTTCAGTCGCTGTGAGGCGTCATAGGTGAGCATATACTGTGGATTTTACAACAGCTTCGAACGCGGCTCAGCCAATCAGATTTTAGGACCAGAACTATCTGTTTTCTAAATTATGGAAATCAGTGAGTAGTGAGTTCACTGATCTGGTCCAGTTTATCGTAAGAGTCAGTCTGGTGGCGTCAGTGATGTCAGATAAACTCCCCTGAGACGTGGGGTCTCGGCAGGACGTGAGAGTGTGTGTGTCTGAGATGATGTGAAATGACACCGTGTTCATTAACTTCTGTGCATATGTGCGTTTCTTCATTATCCCAGCTGAACTCAGCGTGCAGCTCACAGCGGAGAGCTTAGACATGCAGAACTGAGCCAAAGTACAGCGCTGTTTAAGAAAAAGTAAAGCCTTTATCTGGAAACTAAGACTTTGTTTGGTTTAAAAAGAGAATGTTAACAACAAGCAATACATTATAAGACAGTCTAATCAGTGGTG